CTACAGGGAACGCCAGCAACGCAGCCATTACGCCATCTGCTGGTCCCATAACTTGGGACTTTTAAATAAATGTCCATTATTTGATGTTCTTGCCTTTATCAGTATAAATATGGAACAACAGATACCAAAATACGCTTGTGAAACTTTTGAAAGCATCCAATACAAGTTTGTCTGAACTGAATTTTAGACGACTTATTTATTCTTAGCCATATGTGTATGTATTTATTTTTAGTTTGCTATAGGATGTGTGTACTCAGCAGAGAGAAAAAAGAGAGGAAAGTAAAAAGCCACCCCCTACTACACCAATATCCCTTCTCTCCCATTTTCCTTTTGAGATTTTGGGAGCATGTACACACACACTACATGCTTTCCAAGGTGATGGGTCTAGGACTCTAACCATTAGGCTGTCTCTGCGGGATCTAGCTGCCTCAGCTACTGTACTACCTAATTGGCCAACCACCTGTGTTTATTGTTTCATTATTATTATTCTGAAATAATTCTTTACTTAATTTTATTATCATCTTTCAATTAGCTATAGCACATGCATGTTCACCAGAGAGAGAGACAGAGAGTGAGAGAGAGGGAAAGTGACCAAACAAGCCACTACTTCCGGGACTTGAACTGTGGTCGGACATGTGGGAGTCCAGTGCCTTACCCACCATGTTACCTGTTGGCCCTATATTTATTTTTTTTTATTATAGTTTACTTAACTTTAGCCATCATTATTACTTTTTAATTTGACCAGAGACAGAGAAAGAGAGAAAGTAAGAAAGCAATCCACCAGGCCCAAGACTCGAACCACAGTCAGCCATGTGGGAGTTTGGGGCCCCAACTGCCAGCCCCCTGTATTTACTTTTAAATGCAGTATATTTTATACTGTCTTTCTTTTTATTTTTCCTTTCTTTTAGAGCATAGTTATGAAACCTGGTTTAAATATTTAAAAAAAATAGAGTATATATTATTTTATATTTGCCTGTCCTTTAATAATTAAGTGCATTTGATCTTTTTAGTCTTAGAAATGTGTGATGTCTAAATAATATGACCACAGCTTGTCAACCAAACTGGGATGATTTCAAGAAACAAAGGTGGTGCTAATAATAATTATATCAGGACATTAGGCATATAATGGGACCGTGTTCTAGATAAACGGGAAAGAATGGTCACCCCACATATATCAACTAGACTTGTCTCTATTCTAGGAATTCTCATTAACTCTAGCTTCTTAGCACTTTCCTTAACTTCAGTGATTTATTTGCTAAAATGTTTTCTGTTGACACAGAGTGGTTTGTGAGCAGCCTAGAGCTCAGACCATCTCTGACTTAGTGTGGGTCTGATCATTTCCAGATTGTATGTTGGCCTAGATTCACCTTTTCCTTTCTCCTCAGACTCCACCTATTCCCTGTCCTGGTATTTCTCTTATCAGACAGTCTTTTCTTTTCCAAAGAATATTTTTGGCTGATAGAACAAAGCCAGTCAACATAGATTTGCAGAAGTCATTACTAGAGTTTAAAACATGGAAAGAAAATGCCAGATCAGAAATATTTTCTAAAGCAGTTTCAAACTTTTCTGATGGATTACAGCATTTGTCTTTTTGTAAGTATGCAGGCATGATTTTTGAAACGATGTGTATGTAACAGGTCTGTGTTCTTGATTTTTCTTAGTGTGTTAATAAGCAGCAGCTTATAGATACTCAGAAGAGTTTACCAAGCAAAACAGACATTTTAGTTCTCTCTCAACATTTCATTTTAGGCTTGATCTCCTTTTGTGTATTTAGTTGTACCTATGTACCAGCATCTCTGCCTTATTTCAAACAACTTAACCCTGCTTAACCCTAACAGTCAGAAGAGAAGACATCGAGAAGCTCCTCATGTAAGCTGAAGGCTAGAATGCTCTATTTATCCTTAGCCATTGCTTCTTTTTCTTTGTATGGGTACACATAGAAGTGTTTAACTTTTATGTTGGAGTTGGCTTTCCACTCTGCCTAAATTATTTTGTCAAAGGAACCAGTAATCTCAATATTGCCAAGTTCATTGGAAACTTCTCTCTTCATCTTATTTGACCTTTCCTCAGCATTTGACTATGTGAATCACTCCCTCTTTGAAAGACTGTTCTTTTGTGTTACTAATTTTTTTTTAAATTTTATTTTATTTTTTATTTTTTTAGTTTTCCTTCTTTTTTTATTAACTGTTGCTTTGCAGTCCTTTTTGTGGACTTCTCTATCCAAATCTCAAGGTCTGGAACTGTGAACTTTTTTTTTTTTTGTTATATTCCAACTAGGTGAATCATCTATAACTTAGCACATAATCCATATCTACATATTCTGCCAACTCTCAAATTTGTGTTTCTGTTAGATTTCTCTTCTGAGTTTCCAGACTCTCATCTCCAATAGTCTCCTTGACATCTCTATTTTTAAAAAATAATAATTATCATTCTAATTTCTGATTTATAATAATAGTTGTACATCTTTGTGAGGCAGCGTGGTTTTTCAAAACATGTATACAATATGTAAATAATAATTATCATTCTAATTTCTAATTTACAATAATAGTTGTACATCTTTGTGAGGCAGTGTGGTTTTTCAAAACATGTATACAATATGTAATAATCAAATCAGTGAACTAAGTGTATCTACCATCTCCAGTATTTATGATGCACATTTGAAATTTGTTGTACTGATTCTTTTGAAATATATATTAAATTGGGACCAGTAGATAGTATAATGGTTATGTTGCTGGACTCCCACATAGTTGACCAAAGTTCAAGTCCTGAACCTGGTGGCTTAAAACTCAGGCTGGGTCATGTGCGTGCGTGCCCAAGATCCCTTAAGATCCCAATAGGAGAATGAAGGAGAAGGGATTGCAGCATGGCCATCCCCCTGGGGGGGTGATTTCTCACTTTCTGTGTCTCCATGTTGCTGGCGAGCACATGTGCTCTATAGCAAAAATCTCTGTTAAAAGAAAAAAGAAATATGTATTAAAATAAACCCAATGCTTTTTATTGTGCTATAATATTTTATAAACCATTCCATTTGTATATATGTACTCTGTATCTGTTGAACAAGCTCTTCCATCCCTTGCACCGTTTCCTTTTTCCAGCTTCTGTGTCTGCCATTACATTCTCTCCTTCTGTGCAGTTGAGTCATTAACTTCTCACTAATGAGTGAGACATATGGTATTTGTTGAGTGAATACATATGGTATTTTTCTTTTTAGAGCCTAGCTTATTTATACAGCAAAGGAAACAATCAGTAGAGTAGAGAGACAACCTACAGAATGGAAGAAAATATTTGCAAAATATATTTCTGACCAGGGACTAATAACTAGATTTTATTATATATGGAATCAAACCAGCAAAAAACCCTTGACATCTCCATTTTAACATTTCAAACATGTTCTTGGAACTTGGTTCTTCTTGTTCTACCTCTTGTCAGTCATCTATACTGTTGTGGTAAGCCATTAACCTTGATTCCTCTCTTTCAGCAAGAGCTGTTGACAGTCTTTTCAACAAGTCTTGGATTGGTCTACTCTTCTCTGTCTTGTCTGCCACAAGCCTCGTCCATGCTATTGTCAGTTCTTGCCTGGGTTGCAATAGCTTTCCTGATCTCCGTTTTCCCTTCTTGCCTTAATTGATTCAAATGGCAAAGTGTAACTGTAAAGTGAAATGTATCACTTTTCTGTTAAAACACTTCTGTGACTTCTCACTACACTTAGTACTTCCTTATCATGATCAGGTCATAATCATGAAAGGAATCACGATCATGTCTCTCCAGCCTCATCCTGTACACCCCCATCCTGTACTTGCTTATAACTGTCCAGTCAGTGTTTTTATTTAAGTTCTTTGAGCTCCTCTTCTCCCCATTTTCCTTTACCTAGAAATTCTTCCTCTAGTTTCTGTAGGCTGGTTTCTCATCAGTTAGGCCTTGGTTCAAAGACTGTCTGCTTCTCAGATCATGTTATCTAAAGTACAGAGTGCTATTGCTTCTCTGTTTCAGCATTTGTTTCTTTCATAGCACTTACCACAGTTTGGGATTTATTTTATGTGTTTGTTTTCTTACACTTGGTTTCTGGTAAGGTCTTTGAGGATAAACTGTTTTACTTCCCTGTTGTATCCTCAGCATCTAGCACACTCCCTGGCACACAGCTCGTCTTAAGCAAATGTTTGTTGAATGAATAAATGCAAAGTGTGAATCTTGCCATGTTCAAGTTTTATGTTTTTACATTTTTTTGGGGAGGGGGTGTTAGTATATTTGGTTTTCTAAATCAAGAGCATTCTATAAGAAAAATTCAGGACAGATCTAAGATTTCTCAGTGAGACAGATTAAAATAGCAGACTGAAGAGAATAAATAGCAGTAATGTTCCTAGCTAAAACACTCATTAAAAAAAAAAAAAAAATACCAGAGGATGCATGTGGTTGCCAGAGAGGAACAGAAAGAGTTGTCAGAATTGTGGATGACCACAAAACTTTAGTCCGAGTTACACAGTACTGTCTTTTCTGTTAGTTCTGTCTTTCTCCCTTACTGTATTACCTCCTCTGTTCTAGCAAGTGGTCTTTAAATTTCTTTTTAGATAATAATTTATTTAATTTTATTTAGTTTTTTTTTTTTTTTTAAATATTTGCCATAGGGGATGTGTCCTCACCAAAGAGAGACGGGGGTGCGGGGGGGTGGGGGCAAGAAAGCTAGCTACTGGGAATTGAACCATGGTTGGCCATGTGAGAGTCCAGTGCCTTAACCACCATGCCACCTGCTGGCTCTCTAGCAGTGTTTTATATGCCTGTAGCTCACTGAAGACATGAACCATGTGTCATTGTATCCCTTATTTCTGGTATATGTTAATTACTCAATAAATGATGGCTAGGTAAATGTAAATTACCATATTATCTCTGTAGAAAATCAGAAAATGACATTTGTGCTTTATGATTTGTACTTTTCCTCCTTTTGCGTATATTTAATTCTGTCTTACAGCGTGTTCTAATTATTTTCATTTCCATGGAAACTTAATACTAGTGATAATTTTCTTACAGAAAATATCTTGGGTATTTAAAAACACAAGGACACAGATTTTGTGCATGTATGTTTCAGATTCGATCATTCTGTTTCAAATGACAAAGCCCTGATGGTGCTAACTGAAGAGCCACTACTTTATATTCCTCCACCTCCTTGTCAGCCCCTGATCAATACCACAGAATCTCTCAGGTGAGTGTTGTATATTGTTACACAAGTATCTGAGTGGGCTCCTGTTCTTATCTTTGGAGTCTGGAGAACTATTTACTCAGTTATCTAAGTGGCCGAGAGAATCTCTGAGCCACTTGTTAGGTAACCAGAGGCATGTCAGTAGTTAGGTAGTTTCCCCACCAGCCTGGTAGAGACAGTCATGGGCCTATTTCATGAGATGGTTGCATACATACATACATCTTATTTGAGAACTACAGAATGAAATTAATATAAAAATTCAGGGTAAATGTTGGGTCTACAGATAACATGCATAGCAGAAGATTCCATTTTCTTCAAATTAGGAAGATAATAATTTGAAAACATGTGATTTTGGAGACACTTTCCCATTACTGCATTTTTCTTTCTTTCTTTCTTTCTTTCTTTCTTTCTTTCTTTCTTTCTTTCTTTCTTTCTTTCTTCCTTCCTTCCTTCCTTCCTTCCTTCCTTCCTTCCTTCCTTCCTTCCTTCCTTTCTTTCTTTCTTTCTTTCTTTCTTTCTTTCTTTCTTTCTTTCTTTCTTTCTTTCTTTCTTTAAGTTTTATTCATCTCAGGATGAGTGTGCATGCTGGAGAAATGGGGGGTAGTGGTAATGAGAAATCATCCCCCCACGGAGGATGATCATGCTATAATCCCTTCTCCTTTATTCTACTCTAGGGGTTCTGGGCACACATGCTCATGTGCCCTGGATGACCCTCTAGCTGTCAGGTCTGGGCCTCGAACCACAGTCAACCATGTGGGAGACCAGCACCTTAGCCGCTATGCCACCTGCTGGCCCCACTGCCTAAATTTTTTAATGATAAGTAGTAACCAACTACAATTTAATGAGCTTAGTTTAACCTTCTTCACAACTGCTCTTAAAAACTAAGCAAAATAAAGGAAAGTTATATGTGAACAAGCTTTTTAAAATTTTTAGCATCAAAAAAATTGGATTTCTTTTCCTTTTCTCACAAGAGCATGATTTCCAAAGGTTTTAATGCACCCATTTTTGTGTCCTGTAGCATGTTTAGTTCTCCCCAGTGTCTCAGACGTTTGTGTGTACGTAGCCCAAGAACAGAAGCATGAAATACTTTTATTTTTGTAGGAAAGCCTTTGTATCCAATATTTATATTAAGCAGGTATTTAGCTGTTGTTTTCCTTGAATTCCGATCTCATGGTTGAGGAAGCTACCTGTACAAATGCATCTCACTGAAAACAACATCAAATGTCTTAGCATTTTCAAGTCAAAAGTAATGTTGAGTTATTGGGCACCTGGATGTTCTTTGGAACTTATGGAATGATTAACATCATTTCCAACCAAGGGATGAGACGTTTGTTTCTATGAAATATTTTTAATCAATTAAGCTATTTTATAGGTTAAATCATGAACTTCGAGGCTGGGTTCATAGACACGAAGTGGAACGGACCAAGTCGAGAAGAATGACGAATAATCAACAGAAAACCCGGATTCTTCAGGTGTGCTTCTGCTTGTCTTTGAACAGCGATTGGCATGTTTGTTGGAAGGCTTCCTCAGCAGAGTTGCTCTCCTCCCTGGGAGATTTGGGAAGCCAGTGCGTCGGCCACTTAGCACTGTCTCCTGCTGCTTCTGATGCAGCTGTCACTGCCCCTGCAGTCCTCTTCCTTGGTTTTATATAGCTATTGGGTTGTCACAAAAATCATGATGCATTTTTCTTAGAAAACCAGAAAAATATGTCATGGCTCTTCCAGTGACCAATAGTTTAGGTTTTATAGCACTAGTATTTCCTGGTTGGGTATGGTGCTTTCTCTGTTCTGTTCTTTCCAATTGTTTTCGAACCAGGAGCTCCTATATATAGAAAACTGTAGCAAATGCTTTTGGCATGAATTAAAAAATAATACTGTTTATCTTATTTCTTCTCAGAAGTTTTTCAAAAAGAGGACATTGAAACATGGAGCAGTTTGGGAGTGAAAGCACATTACTTAGACATGTGTCACTATGGGTTAAGGACAGCTCTTACTAGAACCTATTCAATATGGCTTCCAGCTTGTCTGCCACAAAGTACCATTTAGAAATTCCATTATTCTTCAGATAGTCGTTCCTACTTCTGAAGCACTATGGCTGGCAACTGGCACACTGCAAGTTCCCAACAAACGTTACCTATTCTAGTAATTATGAGCCAAGAACTGTTCTAGAGCCTAGGAGTAGAAGAGTGAGTAAAGTCTGTACTTTTACGCAGCCTCTGTTCTAGCGGGAGAGCTAGCTATAAACAAGTAAATAAGTACATATGTAAATCCAAAATTAGAGAGAGCATTCTGTAAGGAAAAATAAGGCAGTGTAGGAGATGAGTGTTCTTTGTCCTTCTCCTGCTCTGTCTCTGGCAAATGCATTGGTTTTCTGGCTAAATGAAAAAAGAAAAATAGACTAGAATTTAAATTAAGAAATGAGCTATTTTAGATTCAGTGGTCAGAGAAGGCTTCTCTTGAAGTTCCACTTTAATAAGTTTTTGTCAAGGTTTTGTCTTAGAAAACAGAGTCAAGGGCCAGCCAATGGCATGGAGGTTAATGCAGCTGGAGCCCATGTAATCAACGACATGGTTTGAGCCCTGGAACTGGCAGCTTGAAAAACACAAGGGGCCCATCTGCCGTGTGTGCCCAGAATCTGAAGAGGAGAATGCAGAAGGGGTTGTGGCATGGCCATCCCCACCAGGAATTGGTTTCTTACTTTCCTTCTCTCTCCATCTCTCTGGCAAGTGCATGTGCCCTATAGCAAACTAAAACTGAAAAATACAGGGGTTTATTGACTCAGAGCTTTGGTGGCTGGAAAGTCTAAAGGCATAGGCCTGGCATCAGACTGTCTTACAACATGGCTCATGGAAGCAGAGAATAGCAGGTTCAGGCAGAGAGAGCACAGGCTGTGGATAGCCATCTCTTATAGCAACCGGCTTTTGGGAGAACTAACCCCTTCTTATGAGAGCTAGCACTTAATGGGTCTTGTAAGACATCATTAATCTCTATTACCTCCACATGCAATCACCATGATCTTACCACTCCCTAGACCTCACCACCTCCCAACATCAAATTCCAAAACATGAAACTTTGGAGGACAAACTATTTTTCAAACCATGATGATAATTAATGCTAGCTGTTAAAACAGCCTCAAAAATCTCTAGCTTAATGGAATACATATGTTTTTCACTCATACAGTCTGACATGGCTCTCTAGGATGGCTTCTTTCCAGACAATGACTAAGGGATGCAGGTTCCTTCTACTCTGTAGCCACCAGCAACTTGAAATCCTTTGCTTTTAGCTTTGAGTGTTTGGGAAGAGAGTGACTGGAAGATTACGCAGAATGTTTTAGGGATCAGACCTGGACTTTAGCCAGTGTTCAGTTGGCTAAAGCTTTGTCACTTTGCTTACTCTATTTCAAGGGAGACTGAGAACATGGAATCTTCCTGTCTGCTAGGGAAGAAGAAAAGAGGCTGGTAAAAAACATTGTTTTTGCCATAGGTGGAAAATGACAGTATAAAATATTGAAGGGAGGGCTGGCTGGTGATGTGGCTGGATCCCACGTGGCCAGCAGACCTGCAGCTTGAGAAATGCCAGCACATGTGTGTGTGTCCAAAATCCCCAGAGGAGAATGGAGGAGAAGGGATTGCAATGTGGCCATCACCCCGGGAGTGCTTTCTCCCGTTCTTTCTCTCTCCCTCCCCTTCTCCAGGGAGCGTACACTCCCTAGAAAACAACATCAACACATTTCCAGACAGAACAGTAAATGTAAATACTCTGAGGAGGGAATAGTTTGCACATTGAGGAACATTAAGTGGAGTGAGGCTGGAATGCAGTGACCGAGGGGACAGTGGTGGGAGATGAGATCATAGCAAACTTCCTAGGCTATGCTGGGAATGCTGGGTTTCATCCTCCTGAGAAGATGCCATTACAACATGAAAAGTTTGAGGAGGGCAGTGAATTAGTCTAATTTATATATCTATCTCTATCTATATATATATGTGGGGGTGGGTGGGTGGGTGTGTATATGTATTTTTTTAGGTGTTTGCCATTGGACATGTGCACTCACCATTGACTGATGGTGAGAGCGAAAATGAGAAATTACCCCCCAGAAGGGATAGTCATGCCGCAGTCCCTTCTCCCCTATTCTCCTGGGATGTGGGGCATGCATGCACACATCCTGGGCATGATTTTGAAGCCACCAGGTCTAGGACTTGAACCGTGGTCGGTCATATGGGAGTCCAGTACTTTAACCATGCCACTTGCTGGCCCCCTGTTTTATTTATTTATTTATTTATTTATTTATTTATTTATTTATTTATTTATTTATTTATTTATTTATTTATACATATACACACACACA